GAGATAGAGGAGGAAAACAAAAGAAATATGAGCAAAAGCAATGAGGTAATAACAAAAACCATATCCGCTTGATTTATAGTATATAAGTTATTCTAAAAGTTTGTAGCTGTTGATGCTGAGTCTTTTTAGAAGTGTCTGGAAATTAACAGAAAATTTAGGTTTTGAAAATTTTAGGATTTGTATGATAACTGTGATATAGTGTGGTGTTGCCCATAAAAGAATCATATTTGTACATATTAACAAATTCTGAAATCAAAACCTGTCATTTTAAGGCAATCTTAATTTACCTTTTTTTTGTGTGTGTGTTTTTCATAGGCCTTGTCTCAGCTCAGTGAGGCCAGTGACAGAGAGAGGGAACTGCTCCAGCAGAATGCTAGCTTACAGCAGCAGCTGACTATCATGAGGACAGATCTTGAGCATTCACAGGCAAGCAGCGCTCTCAAAGAGAGCTATGGGAAGATAACGAGGCCCTCAAGGAACAGCTAGAAGATGCTCGGCGAGACCTTAAACTCAACAGTGAAGCTCTGGCCCAAACTGTCTTTAATTGTAATAACCAGGTGACCACCCTGAAGTCTGAGCTAGCTAGAACAACAACCCACTTGGAAAATGAGCGGCAAACTCGTGAAACATTGGAGGCAGAGATTGAGTCCACACGCACCCGCCTAGCTGAAGCCATAAAGGAGGCTGAGCGTTGCCTGACAGCTCACACAGACACAGAAAAAGCTCTCCTCTGGCAGAAAGAGGAACACCAGCGTCTTAAAGACAGACTCACAGGTTAGTAGTACTGGGAATGGTTGGACAGTTCCAAGCCTAATATTGTAATAACTCAATTTTGCCCGACCACTGACAGCCAGATTTGAATCAGTGTCAACAGTTTTGGTTGAATCTATCATCACTTGTACCATGTCATTAAGTGGCTTTTGGATGAGGCACCTTTTTTGGGTCATTTTCACTTCCTTCTGTGGCCTTTTGTTTTGTGCATCTTTATGTCCAGCGGTCTTTTTTTATTTCTGGCTAGCTGGGGCCTTGTTTGTAACCCCTAATGCATTTATTTCTGCAGATGAAGCAGCCAGTCAGCGTGCGGCAGTCAACAGCCTGTCCCAGAAATTGACCACAGCAGAGTCTCGTGCAAATAGCATGGAGAATGAGGTCCACCGGGTCACACTGCAGCTGACAGAGAAAGGCTTATTGCTGGAGGTGCTCCAGCGGGAGAAAGAGCAGGCAGCTGCACGCGTTAGGGAGTTAGAAACTGCTCTGCAGGCTGAGAGGGAGCAGATCAGCCGTGCTGGAGCTCGCCAAGAGGCCACACAGGAGCGACTAGCCCAAGCCCACAGTGAGAGCATGTTATTACGGCAACAGCTAGAGGAGACCCAAAACAAAGGTGTTGCAAAGGAGCGTGCTGTGACAGATGCCCAAGAGCTCTTCAGTGACATTCTGTCAAAACTGCGCTCTGACTGTGAAGAGAGGGTACAACTAGTAGAGGAGAGGAATCAGGAGCTTGCCAGTAAGGCAGCAGATCTCCGAGATCATGTGTACAAGTTAGAGGAAGAGAAGAACGAAAGAGAGGTAAGATTAGGGCTCTGCAGTGTGAGAGGATTATGTGACCTCTTCCTCCAGACCATTTTAGCCTTTCTTCCACATGCCAGATAAGAATCTCCCCCTTTAACTAACTTAAACTTTGCTTCCTCTGGATTCTGTCTGAACACAGACTAGCCTTAGGCAGCTGCAGCAGGAGCTAGCTGACTCACTCAAGAAGCTGTCAATGAGTGAAGCTTCTCTGGAGGTCAACACGCGCTATCGTAGTGACTTAGAGGATGAGAAAGCTCGGCTCCTCAAAGACGTGGACAGGCTCAAAGGAAAGGTAACAGTATGGAATGGTGCTACCTTGTGGCAGCATAGTCTCACCACATCTCATTGCCAGCTGTGTTAATGGTTATGAAGCAAACACCTTAAGCTATACTGAAATTAGACCTCTCACTATCACTTCTCCGTTTAGCCGATAGAGCAGTTGGACAAAAGCTGCAGTGTCTATCACCCCTTACATTCACTGAATTGACTGTTAAGTCCAGTGTTAACATGATGAGGTGCATTCTCTGTCTCTGTCTTGTAGCTGGAGGAAAGAGAAGATCAGTATGTGCAAGCTGAGAGACATATCAACAGTCTAAAGAGCAGTCTAGATGAAAAAGAAAAGGAACTCACCACTGCTGCTCAGAAACTCCAGGAGGCGCTGTCTGCCTCCGCTGCCTGTGATACCACTATCAAACAGCTAGAAGAAGCTGTGCAAAGGTACTTTGGGATCCAAAAAAAACAATCAAATAATTTTATTGCATTATATGTCATGTTCA